TATATATATATTCCTGCTCATAATATTTTGGGAAAAATTTGTGTCATGGTTAAGGTCGATAGCTCAAAAGTATAGTTTTCAATTAGAAAAATAATTTATGTTTCTCATTTTTGTTTGGTTGCTATTGTCAACCTAAAGAAGAGGTAAACTGAGGCAGATGCAAATGACCAGAAATTGAGTTTACTCAGCAATAGCAGAGGCATTGTAATTTGGAAATGCAAGCTACAGGAGAGTCTGTTGAGGGTTTGGATTGGGCTGTGTTTGTGATCAAGGAGTGCAAAGAGGGAGAAGTCCAGTGGGAGTCTAAACAGCAAATTCTTTGGCTTGAGGATGGGGTGGGATTGCGGGCTGATATTCGTTGGCCAGGAGATAGGTCAAGGTCATCTATAAATCAGGCATTTCTGGGAAACCAGTCTGTGGGTTCTTCAGTTCTGTGCTTCTGATAGTGAATGAATGAGATTCTTCATTTCATATCCTCTGGTTCCATTTTAGATCAAAATCCTTTCATACTATGAAAATGTAAAAGTAATTTAAGATTTTTAATTCTTGTTGAATTAAACACACTGATCAAGTGAAATAAGTGTATCTACTTTGAAAATGTATATCTAGCCCTGGCTGGTTTTGCTCAGCACTTATAGACTGTTGGCCCACAGACCAATGAGTCGCGGGTTCGATTCCAGTCAAGGGAAGGTACCTCCGTTTTGTGTCGGGCCCTGGTTGGGGTTGTGTGAGAGGCAACCAGTTGATGTGTCCCTCTCACATCTATGTTTTCCTCTCCTTTTGTCTCTCTCCCTCTCCATCCGAAGATAAATAGAAAAATATCCCCAGGTGAGGATTTAAAAAGAAGAAAATATATATCTATATTTCTATTATTTAGGGTAGACTCTTTTCTGGACTTTTTTTTTTTTTTTTAGCTAGGTTTGTTCTAGAAATTTCCTTAATGCTCTTCCCTGTGTCAAAATTCTTTTTCCACTGTTAGGTTCTGTGATATTTTTTCTTTGCTCTCCAATTTTAAAACAAGTTTATATGTTCTATAAATGGGATTTGGGGATGGAGAAAGGTGAATACAAAGAAGTCTGTTGATAAATTCTTAAATACTTTTAATCTAAGAAGTTGCCTTAGCTCTGGCCAGTTTGGCTCAGCGGTTGAGCGTCAGCCTGTGGACCAGAGAGTCCCGGGTTCAGTTCCCACTAGGGGCACATACCACAAAAAAATAAAAATAATAGAAAAAAGAAGTTGCCTTGAATTTAAGTTTACTATTCAAATTAGCTAAGGGAACAAAGAAAAAACATAAATGTTTTCTAGTCCTTTAATTTCACCATAATATATTCGAACATATAGACATATTTTACATTGGGTTATGTATTTATTGACCTCATAATCCCTATCTTTTATACATTCTTCATTCATAGCACAAAATCAGTGTAAGATAATATTTCTGTAGCCTACTTTGCAAGGTTTATTTATATGATCATTCCTGAGGGGCCCTATGGCTGGTAAAAATGCACTTTCCATTGCTTAGTTTAAATTAGCATATGATATGAGGGTCAGTTATGTGTATAGAATAAAATTTTTTAGTATTACTGGTTTTCAAGGAAATAAAATGCCTTCTCAAATTATACTAAATGCTTCATAGTAGTGTTAAATTTGTTTTCATAACCTGATCCTTGTATGGAATGCCTTATTAGAGTTTTTAGTAATTTTTTTTGGTTTAAGAAATTTAAAGCTTTCAGAACAGTTTCAAATTTTTTGATTGAAGTGAATTTTAGAACCAATTAGAGTTCAGAAGCTAATCTGTTCTGATAGTTTCTTTTTAAAGGCTATGATTTTCTTTCTATGGTTTAGTAATTGTTTTTATATATTCTAGATATTTGGACATAGCCATTATATGTTTTGTAACCTTTAAATAGGCAAAGATCAGATTTACTTTGGGATTCTTTTTTGTTGTTGTTGTTCAGGTAGAGTGGGGGGGGTGAGAGGAACAGAGAGAGAGAGAGAGATACATCGACGTGAAAGGGACACATCGAGTGGCTGCCACCCGCACAGCCAACCAGGGCCGGGGACAAACTGCAACCGACGTACGTGCGCTTAACGAGAACCGAACCTGGGTCTCCCAGGACCGCAGGTGGACGCTCTAACCGCTGAGCAAAACCGGCCAGGGCAGGGATTCTTATTTTGTAAATTATTTAATAGAGTTTTTGTCTGAGTGGATTAATGAACTGAATAGAGTTCTAATTTAGGGGCAATTTGTATCTACATACTTGGCCTGTATTTTACATGTTCTGTAGCTATCCAGCGTGGAGCTAGAAACCAGAAATGGATACAGGGTGGGGCAAAAGTAGGTTGATAGTGACTGTGGGAAAAACAGAGTTTATTCTTGTATTATTTTTAAATTATTATATTATTTTCCATATGAACAACTGTAAACCTACTTTTGTCCCACCCTATATAGTGGGGATTTCTACAAGTGTTGGTAGTTATTCAACTAAATGTATGTTTTCTACTTAAGATTCAATTTTTGGGGATATGAAAAGTGTTAGAAGAAAAATCATAAAAGATTAGGAGACTTTTTCCCCAATATTTGATGCAAGAATATTCTAATGTGTTAAAATGTAAATTGGCTTCAAAGAAAACATAAAACCTAAGTTAAAGGGTTAAACACTTAATAATGTTATTATTGACATAACCCATTCTTACAAATTACACTGAAATACATTTAAAAAATTGACAATAAACTGGTTTATATTTGGAAGTTGTACATTACTGTGACTATTTTGCAATTGTAATTTTTCTTTTCAAAAATGAGATTTCCCCAATGCCTTAATTCTTTATGTGCCAGGATTTAGAAACTGTGAAAAGTAGATATGTACTCTGACCGGATGGGTCAGTTGGTTGGAGTGTCCTCCCATATACCAAAGTGTTGGGGGTTCGATTCCAGGTCAGGGCACATATGGGGGTCTCAGTCGATCGATGTTTCTCTTTCACACCAATGTTTTTTTCTCTCTCTCCCTTCCTCTCTCTTTAAGAAACAAAAACACAAACAAAAAACATATCCTTGGGTGAGAATTAAAAAAGAAAGTGGAAATCTTCATAAAGTGTTCTCAATTTTGCTGATAGTTCCAAATGAGGCTTTAATATTCTTTTTTTTTTTTTATCCTCACCTGAGGACATTTTTGCATTTATCTTTAGATAGAACAGGAGGGAGAGAGGGAGGAAGAGAGAGAGAGAGAAACAACGACGTAAGAGAGACACATCTAGTGGCTGCCACCCACACGACCCCAACCGGGGCTGGGGACAAACTGCAACCGAGATACGTGTCCTTAGTGGGAACCAACCCGGGACTCTCGGGAACCAACCTGCGACTCTCCGGTCCGAGGGCCGATGCTCTAACCACTGAACCAAACTGGTCAGGGCGAAGCCTTTAATATTCTTGATGACTTTGAATGAGGTATAGTGGTCAATACTGTCCTGGGTCCTTACTGTGCTTCCAAGGCTACTCCAGCCTTCCAGCAAAAATGGACAGGCAGCAGAATTCTTTTATTCTCCCATCTTTTAAAAGCCTGTGATATTTGTCACTTTGTAACTGGTCTCTCCCATTTTCTTCCCTCTTCATTTTTTTTTTTTTATTGTTTATTTTGTAACTTTTATGTAGAAAACATAGCCAATTAGGGTTGTTGTTTTTTGTTTGTTTGTTTGTTTGTTTCATTCCTCTGTGAGAATTAGGCCATCTTAGTTCCACATGTATCATGTCAGAATTTTTTCTGGTGACTACATATTTTGAGTTGTTTCTTCAGAATTATTTTTTGTCCCCAAATTCCTTTTCTGCATTTTATTTGAACTCTGAGAGGTCCGAAATGCTCATCCTTAGTTGACTGAGATAAAGAAGAACCTCCTGTAATTTTGATATTGGCAAATACAGTACATAGCATGCCGTAGCCTGACTGTTTAGTTTGGGGCATGGTTGACTTGATTTCATTAGATCAGTAACCAGAAGGATCACGGTTCGTGTTGACTGCATGAATGAAATCGTGGGCCTTATTCCAGGATACAGAAATGAACAGCCTGTGTGATTTTCTTGGTTTAGTCGTCTGACAAATGCTTTAATGCCGATAGGCAGAGGGGGTGATGGGAGAGGAGAGATGAGGCATCAGAATCAAACTATTGGGGAATTATAACTAATGTTTTTTGAAGAGGCCATCCTAATCGAAGTCTTGGGAATGAGCAAGTGTTGGCTGGGAAATGTGGAGCTGAAAGGCTTTTCCTAGAGCAAGCTGGTGGTGTAGGCCCAGGGGGAGAGTGGGGTTCTCGGGGAGCTCAGGGGGCTGGTGAGCACAGAGATCCATCTCAACCAGCAGTTTTCAGGGTGTGGGTTCTGAGACCCCTGTAGGTCCCGGAGGCCCGTTGGTGGTGGGTCTACAAGTTCAAAACAATACTAAACTTTTATTGGCCTTTTTCATCCCAATTTTCTCAAGTATGCTGAGAATTTTCCAGAGGCTATGTGTGATGACATCATTGCCATCATGTCTAATGGGATTGTGGACTTGTGGATTCTTGTGTTTGAGCAATTTCTTACTTTAAATGTCTAAAACAGTAAATATCGATAGATAAACCTTCAAAAGCAAGAGCTCTTTGGGGCCTTCAGTAATTTTGAAGAGTATAAAGGGGTCCTGAAACCTCAGAGTCTGAGAATGCTGTCCTGGGAGACGGGATTTTATGTGGAGTGCCTTGGGAAATCCATGAGTGAGTTTTGCGAGAGAGGATGACGTGATCAGTGTTTTTAGAGAGCAAGGGTGGTGATGGGAAACGCCCATGCCTAGGGCCAGCCTGGGGCAGAGAGCCTAATAAACAGCAATCGCTGTAACTCTGAGAGACAGGAGGCCCAAGCTGCTTTTTGTTGGGACAGATGCGGTGGTGCAGATAGAGAGAAAGCTAGACCAGTCCCTAGAATCAGTAGTCCTGGACGTTTGTGTGAGCAAGAAGTCGGCCCACGCCCAGCTTTTTGACTTCGAATACCGGCAGCCAGAGGTGTCACAGCCCGAGTGGACGGCTTTCTTCCTTGGCACTTTAAAGGTGGGTTGCACTGTCTTCTGACTTCTCTTGTCTCTGATAAGAAGAACTTGTCATCAAATCAGTGCACTCCTGTGTGCCCTGTGTCATTTTTCTCCGGTTGCTTTCAAGGTGTCCTGGTTCCACTTCGTTTTCAGCCGTCGGACAGGGGTGCAGCGATGTGCCTAGGTATCATTTCTTTGTATTTCTTTACCTTACTGAGTTTTGTCTGGTATTTGTTTATTTTCTTGAATTGCTAAATGCATTATCTGGTTTGTGAGGATATTTTGGCCATTGTTTTATCAAATGTTTTTTTTTCCTGTCCCTATTCTCTCTTCATTTTTTTCTTTTCTTTCTGGAACAGCAGTTGCAATTGTCATCCAATTATGTTAGACATTTTATTTATTCATTTATTTTTATTGATTGTAGAGAGATGAAGGAGAGGGAGAGAGACAGAGAGAGAGAAAAAGAGAGAAAGGAAGAGGGGGGGGGAGAGAGAGAGAGAGGAAAGAAACATTGATGTGAGAGAGAAACATTGATCGGTTGCCTCTTGCACGCGCCCTGACCAGGGTACACTCCAACCAACTGAGCCCCACTGGCCAGGGCGATGTTAGAGTTTTAATGTTGTGCCACAGGTCCCTAAGATTTATTTTTTGAATCTTTTATCTTCTGTTCTTCAGACTGAAGAATTTATATTGATCTGTCTTCAGTACATCTTCAGTATCTTCAGAGAGCTCACTGACTCTTTCTCCGTCAGCTTCATTCTGTTGTTAATCCTACTAGTGCAACTTGTACTCCAGACACTTCATTTTTCGTTTCTCGAGTTTGCATTTGGTACGTTTGTTGTCATTGTTATTCACTGTTGTCATTTACATTTCTCTGCTGAGATTTCCTTTCGTCATTACTATTATTCTTATGTGCATCCCCCCCCTTTCTATACCTGAGTGTTGGCGTGCACTGGACTGCTAATTAGGACATCTGGAACATCTTGGGGTCTTGATTATCATTTTCCTTGTGAATGAACCTGCGTTTCCTGCTCCTTTTATCTGAAGTAATTTGGATTGTGTCCTGGACACTATACACGACATATTGTGGGAATTCTCAGTTTTGTTACATTTAAAAAAAAAAATGCTATTTTTGTTTGTTTGTGTGGTTAAAGCAGGCACATAATTTGGCTGGACTCAAACTCCAAATTCTGTTCTTCCTATAGTGGTGGCAGCTTAAATCTCAGTCCACCTTTTGCCTCCACTAGAAGACTCAGAGACTGTCTGCACATCTGTGCTTCGGGGCCATCTAGAGATTTGGGAGGAGTTGTATACTTTCTCTCTTCAGCGCTGTCTTGCCTGGAATTTCTCTCTGATTTTCCAGGGACTTAATTGTCCTGGACTCTGTCCTCTAGTTCTGAGCCCAGTGAGACTGTGTGTGTGTGTGTGTGTGTGTATGTGTGTGCATTTTAACCAAAGGTTGGGCCACTTGCATGGCACAAACTGGGGCCTGTCCTCAGGCTATAAACCTTTAAAAATTGGCAACTCATGTAGTGCCGTTCCTTCTTCCCCGGGACAGCTCGTCTCCAGCAGTGGCTGCTTTCATTTGCTCTCCAGTGCTTTCCGAAATAAAACCTATGTATATGTCTGGAAGGCCCTTGCCAGGTAGCTCAGTTGGTTGGAGTGTTGTCCCGATACGCCAAGGTTGTGGGTTTGACCCCAGTAAAGGCATAAATAAGAATCAACGAATGAATGCACAAATAAGTGAAACAACAAATCAGTGTTGTTTTTTCCCTCTGCCTCTCTCTCCCATTCTCTCTCTAAAATCAACCAATAAAAAATAATAAAAATATCTATAAGTCCTTAGTTTATAGTTTTTATCTGTGGGAGGGTTGGTCTGATAGGAGGTACTTGGCCATCCTAGAAATGGAATCATAATATTTTGTTGGCATTAATAACTGAGATAAAGAGATGATAAAGATGACTTAATTAAGTGAGGGGTGGGGAAGTGAGGGAGGATGATGGATTTAGTTTTGGTGATGTTATCTATGTTGGTAGCCAAAGGGTTGTTGTCCACCAAGTGGTAGTAGTTATGGATGTGTGAATCTTAGGGGTGTGGTTTGGGCTAGAGATACAGACTTAGGAATTATAAACATGCTGATAATGACTGAAATCGTGAGGAGGGGTGTTTTGAATGAAAGCACTGATCTGAATTCATATCCCAGGGGAACAGCCATATTTAATAGGTAGGCTAAGGAAGAGGAAAACAAGAAGATTCAAACTATAAGTGGAGTAATTTGTAAGGGAAAGTTGTTAGAAACCAAGCAGTTCTTTTTTTTTTTTTTTCTTTCTTCAATTACAGTTGACATTCAATATTATTTTATATCAGTTTCATGTGTGCACCATAGTGGTTAGACATTTATATAATAGTGGTCAGCAGTTCTTAACCTGGGATCTACTGACCTTGTTGGTGCGGGAGCAAATTTCAGGGGGATTCTGAATCTTCTACCGTGTGTGTGCGCGTGCGCGCGTGTGTGATTTTTCTGGGGTGAGGGTTCATAGCATTCATCAAATTTTCAAAAACGTTTGTGACCTACACAAATGGTTAAACCTTGAAATAAACAGTAGCAGAATTGCAGTTTGAAAAAGTGGCCGAAAAATCTCTGATCTGCAGATTGGGAGCTCACCAGCGCCTTCGAGCATTTCAGAGTGCAGGGGGAAGGCAACGTGGAGTTCACTGAGAAGTAAACTGGAGATGCAGAGGTAAGGCTAGGGAGGATCGAGTTCTCTTTCAGGAAGTCTGGACGATAAGGGGAGAGATTGCCTGATAGGAATAAGATGAAGGAAAGCATTGCCCGCCCCGCCCCGCCCGGCTGTCGCAGGCCACTGGCCACACACTCTCCTTTGTGCTTCTGCTCCGAGTTCTGTGAAAGCTGCTCTGTTGTGAAACTCCAGGGCCTGCTCGCGTGGGCTGGCGTGCGTGCCTGCGTAGCTTTCCATCCCCGAGTGGTGGTGAGCTCCATGACAACGCGACTTGTTTTTCTCTTTTTTGGGGGTGTTCTTTCCCTGTAGCCCCTGGTAGTGTACTCTGCAGGTAGTCAAGACTTCACGTGGCTCACTGGTAAAGGTTTCAGGATATGGGATAGGTCCATGATCTGGTGGAAACAGGGGTCCAAGTGCCAAGGGTGTAGAGAACATCTCTGGTGCAAGGTTTCCCTTACAGTGCGTCTGGATAGTCTCAGCTCCCTGGGGGGTTGCCTGCTGTGTACACTATAGGCCCTTAGAGCAGGGAAGGGCCTGAGAGCTTTGTCCAGGAGAAGTAGGGAAGTATAGGATGTATAATCTCCCTCCCCCTATTTTGTCCTCTTTTCTTAATAGGGGAGAAGAGTTTAGATGGGAAGATACTTGGCTGAAATAGTAGGGGACTCAGAAAGGTAGATGGAAGTAGGGGAAATTGAGATTTGATAGCTCTCTGGACTCATCCTGCTGTCCTTAAATTAAAGGAAAGTTGCAAAATAGCTATTGTAGCTCATTCCTATCTCTTCTTTTATTTTCTGCCACTGAGAAGTAGATACTTTCTTGCTTCCCTTGTTCCCTCCTCACCCACGGCAGCTAGCTGAACGTACATTCTTCCTGTTCCCTTGAGCCTAGTGAAGCTGTCAACTGGGCTTCTAATACAGATAACGGTGAAAATATTTCATCAACTATTCAATGGGAGCCAATTCTCCACGAACATTTAATTCTTGTGATAGAAATTTGTTTAAAAATGGATCTAAAGGTCGTTCGATTTGTGGTAAAGACATTTTGGACTCTGCTCGGCTCTTTGCCAAGGAGGAAAACGTATCAAATCGGCTTTGGAGTTACAATTCCACGACCAGCCTGCTGCCTGCTGTCCTCGGTGCCGGCTCCGCATCGCCTCGAGGTGGCGCCGCTTGGCGGGAAAGTGCAGGTTAACTGTGCCTACTAAGTGAAACAAATCTTCCAGTGGCTTCTGAGACATCTGAGTGCCTTGGGTCGTCTGCATATTTCATTCATCGCTTAATTTTTAGAAGTACAAATGGAAACTTGGTATATATACTGTTTTGTTCCTTGGTTTTGTTCCTTAACAGTATATAGCTGGACCCTTATATGTTGGCACATGAAGGGCTTTAAAAAGTTTTGGTTGTTTTTACAGTTGCAAAATCTAATATTTATAATTATTGTATTTCATTAAATGTTGAACTAGAATTGATCTAACCTGTCCTTTTTTTGATCGATATTTAAGTTTTTTCTGATATTTGTAATTCTACGCTATGTTTCAGTGAATAACATTGGGCATCGGTAATTTTGCGTGTGTGCGGTTATCATTGTAGAGTGGTTTTCAACTCCTGGATTCTTGGTTTTCCTCTCTGAAGGTTATGTTCCCACCAGCCATGTAGAAGAGGGTCTGTTAGCTTTGTTCTTATTCTTGGTCAGTCAGAAAGATAAAGATGGTAGCTAGTAGTTTTGATTTTTGTATGTGATAAGTGAGATTGATCACCTCTTAATATGTTAAAGAGCAATTTGTGTCCTTTCTTTTTTTCTTTACTGCTTTTAGAGAGAGAGGAAGGGAGAGAGAGATAGAAACATCGATGAGAGAGAGCATCAACTGGCCACCTCCTGCATGCCCCCCACTGGGGATTTGGCCCACAACCTGAGCATGTGTCCTGACTGGGAATCGAACCGGCGACCTCTTGGTACATGGGTCGACGCTCAACCACTGAGCCACACCGGCCCGGTGCAGTCTGTGCCTTTTCTGTTAACTCTTTGCCCCCACCCCTCACCTCATAGGAGTTCGTTATTAAAGGAAGTTGACTCTCTGTCTAGCACGAGAGTTGCACATTTTGTGTGTGTGTGTTGGCTTATTTTTTGTTTTTCTACGACGAAACTCTTTTCATTTGTAGGTAGTTGAGCTTATTATTATTTTCTTTTATGATGTCTGGGTTTTGTATGTGGAGAAATTTCTCATTCCTAGAGTATAAATATTCTCCCAGTTTGCTTAGGATATTTTGTAGATTCACC